CGGTGATTCCAGGTTAAGGAGGGCCTCCTTGCCTCGCCGAGCCGCAGAGAAGGGGGACGGGTAGGATCCTTGGGGGTGGCCAGGGCCTCCGGGCCCCCCTTGGGCCCCTGGAAGAAAGAATTGGTTCCCACCAGCCAACCTGTTCCCACAGCCAGAAGTTGCCATGGTGACCCCCTCCCACCTTCAGCTACAGCTTTTCCAGTAAAACCACTGCCGAGATCCATACTTCCCGACAGGCACGCCTGCGGCCCCCACCCCCCTCGTGGCAGCCCGGAGCAGCTGCGAGTTAACCCTGCGTATGCCGGGGGCTGTTCTTTGGGGGAAAAGGGGAACGGGAGCCAGGAGTGGGGACCGTGGGTAGGAGCGAAAGTGGACAGGGGTATGATCTTGGCCAGTTGCTTGAGCAAGTCTGGAACTTGGAGCAGGGAAACCAAGCTGGCCTTGACTTAGCCAAGCCCCCTGGGCCTCAGGGAGGCCTTACTGGGGCCCACTGCCAGTCATACTCCAGCCTCTGTGTGTGTGTGAGAGAGAGAGAGAGAGAGAGGAGAGAGGGGGGGTTGTCTGGCTTGGCCTGAGCCGCAGCCCCTCTCTGGCTTCCTCCCCTGTCCCGCAGGCACAAATTCTTTTCCTGGAGACCCGAAGGTCCCTACAGCCTGGAGTTTAGCTTTGCAAGTCAGTCTCCGGAAGGCTGTGGAACCCCAGAGGTCCCAGCAGCTGTCTCAGTGCCCTGCCTTGAGAAGTCGGGAGAACCACCCCCACCCCCTCTACGCCCTGCTGCTTACACTGCTGGGGCGTCTGAGAAAGAAGATGGCGCTTCTGAGAGGCGCCACCCTGCTGAGCCCCAGGGACCCTTGGTCAGGCCTCTATCAGAGAAGGGGTCCTTGGGGACACTGAGGCTGCAGGCCCAGGGGGCTCCATCTGTGGCTCTGGCGGGCCGCACTCCCACTGTGAGCTGCGAGATGCTGCGAGCTCTAATTGTTCTCTGTAGCCGGATGAGTAATTGAGAGGTCTTTGAAGGGAATTAATTAGGCCGCTTATTGACTGTAAATGCTTGCCGTGGATGATAAAGGGAGACTGGCCGCCTGTGTGGGCCCGGCTGGGGCACAATCGCGTTTCATTCACATTGGCTCCCTCTGGGGGTCAGCTGTTCAGCTTGGCAGGGACCTGACCCTCTTGTCTGTCCTGCCCCCTCCTTCAAGAAGGGACCAGGAAGGCTGAGCCCTGCATGGTCTTTATACCTCTACACCCCGCTTCTGGTATTGGGGGCAGCGCTATCTATCCCATAACTCTTCCCAAAGGTGAGCTGGGGTCCCCCCCCAGCAGGAATGTCTGTCCTGTCCCATGTTGGGAGCACTTCCTTGAATGTTAAGTTCAAGGCCAGAGGCAGGCTGGGGGCAGGTTCTTACCCTCAGCTCTTGGAGAGAGGTACCTACACTGGGGACACACTGGGCTGGCCCTGAGCCCCATCTGTCCAGCCCACCCGTCTGTCCCAGCCCTTTTCTGGGAAGATTCGAGAGACTGGAAATCTAGCAAGCATTCCTCGACCTCCTAGCTAGCTAGGGTCAGAGTGCAAATAGCCTTGCAGATGGACACAGTTGGGGTGAGTAGAGAGGGCAGGACAGTGCTGGGGTGGTGTCTGGCTGGCAGTGTTGGGAGGCAGAACTGATAGCCTGGATGGAGAAGTGGTGTGGTATGCCCGGTTCATAAGGCCTCTGCTCCCTGCTGGCCTGTTCTAAGCCAGGTCCATGCTGATTTATTTTCCAGCAACTCTATGCAGAGCTTTTCTCTGCAGAGCCAGTACTGTGGGGATATTCTAGTTTGTAAAGAGACTCGGCAGCCCCGAGCTTGGTTAAGGATTGGTGGAATGAGTGGATGTGTTAGCTCCTTTTTTATGTAGCCAGAGGACCCATACAGTGAGGGATCTGCCAGGACCAGGGAAAGGCAGTGCTCATGTCTTGAGGGAAAGTACAGACCTAGCTGCTGGGGGACAGCACTAGGTGCTCCCCAGCCCTGCCTCTGAGGGCCACAGCGGGGACTTAGCCCTTGATTCTAGAGCCACTACTGTAAGGAATCAGGCATTGTGCTGGCCTGCCCCTATCACCTGGCAGAATGCACCCAGGCAGTGCCCTGGTCAGCTCAGGGTTCTACTATTGTGTCGTCTGCACACAGATGCAAAGGATCCCTTTAAAAGGAAGACCCCGGTCCGCTTCTGCTCTCTTTCCCACTGGGGCAGACAGGACTTTTCCTGTCTCCCTCTTCTCCTCTGTCCTCTGTCTGTTTCTGACTCTTCACCTCTTTTCTCTTTCCTTCCCCCTCCCTCCCTTTCTAATGAAACTTCTCACTTAAGCTCTGTCTGCCTGGCGTGTTTGTCCCCGGCCTTGGTCAAGGTCCCCCATGCAAGGTTGCTCTCAAGCTTTATCATAACAACTACAGTATCACTGGATCCAGTAAGACCTTGCAGATCAGGAGCTGGTACAGAAGGGGGGCGAGTGTGACCATGCTCCAGACAGTCAGGCCTGACAGCTCTGAGATCGCTGGAAGGGAAAAGGCTGTGGAACCAGGTGACTAGATCTGAAGTTGGGGACCAGGAGATGACACCAGGTGTCCCCTCAGAAGCACAGGGATTTGGCTGTTGCCTTCAGGGAGCTGGAATTTTAATGATTCTGGCAGAAGAAAAGAGATTCTTTTTGTTTGGTTGGGTTTTTTGTTGTTTTGTTTTGTTTTTCAAGACAGGGTTTCTCTGTGTAGCCCTGGATGTCCTGGAGCTCACTCTGTAGACCAGGCTGGCCTCAAACTCAGAGAGAGATCTGCCTGCCTCTGCCTCCCAAGTGCTGGGATTAGAGGCATATGCCACCACCACCCAGCCCAGGAAGACATTCTAACAAGACACTTGTGCACCGCCCTTTGGCTACTAGACTATTAAGATGAACCCCGAGATGCTGGAATCTCCCCAGGAGTCTCATGCTAGGAGAAGGGAAAGGCTAAAGTCCTACACCAACCAGAGCAGAGCTTGTCTCCCAGGAAGAGATTGCACACCATCCTGCCCACTTGTTAGATCATCCGCAGGAGAGAGGAGCTGGGGCAACTGACAAGCCAGTCCCTACCTTGACCAGGACTACTTAGCTCTCCATGCCTCTTGCCCTCTGTTTAAACATAAACCTCATGTCAGAATCCTCAGATGAACTTGGAGGTCGATGGACCTCTTTGTGTCTCCTCCCCATGTGCCCACATTGAATAAATCTCTTTCCTCTGCTTTTCACCATTGTTTGTCTCGGTAATTGGTCTACTGGGGACTGGAGGCTGAGCCTAGCTTGTTAGTGCTGCCAGGGCCCAGCCAGGCTCTGACCCTAACAACTTGGGTAACAGGATACTCCTGGTGCCTTCGGGGCTTCCATATGCCCTCCTCACCCTGTGCTGGAATAGGCCCCTGTGGGGCCTTGTGAGCTGTCCTCCGCTTTCTCCGGGGTTCAGTCTGTCAGGAGCACTTGCAGAAGAGTGGTGGAGCCATGGTTACATCCTCTGGCTATGTGGATCTGTGTCTGCTCCCTCCTCCCTCCCAGCCGGCAGCTCCTAAGGGGCAGCCCTCTCTATTCCTCTTTCCCAGCTGTAGACACCACACACACACACACACACACACACACACACACACACACACACAGCCCTCCTCCAACTGTCCCCAAGGTCCTGTGTGATGAGTTATTGCATATGACTTAGCTGAGCCACCAAGTTGGTAAACATGCCAACAGAAAGACTTGAACACGCGCCTGCCAGATGCCTTCACACTGGAGTGGACAGATGCCAACTGTGAGTCTTC